CAGCGGGAACTCATCTTTGATAGGAATTGTGTCCTTGGTACAATAACAAGGCGTGTGGGAATTCAGGATATACTGTGTAATTAAAAGAGACTGAGTTAGATAAGCAGTGAGCTCTTATTTAAAAAAAAGAAAGAAAGATGAAACTTTGCAAGATAACACAAGGTCAGGAAGTTCTCACCCGGATAGGATGAGGTATCAGTCTATTTACTGCTGGTGTTGATTTATGCTGTTAGTAATCTAGAAACGAGAGGTTACTGAATTTAAGTCCTCTCTGGAACTGGTTTTCATAAAGTATGATCAACCACACGTGAAGTCATTTCAGCTGCTATAGTGAACTAAACATTTAGTGAGCTTACAGGGATAGTTCACCCCAAGTTGTTCCTAACCTGTAAAGAAGATATTTTGAAGAATGTTCGTAACCAAACAGCTGACGGTGGCCATTGACTTCCATAGTATGGAAAAAATTATATGGAAGTCAATGGGTACCATCAGCTGTTTGGTTACCAAAAATATCTTCTTTTGTGTTCAGCATAAAAAAAGAAACTCAAACAGGTTTGAAAAAAAACTTGAGGGTGAGTAAATTAACTAAGTATTGTCTACTGTTATATAGTAACTGTCTATTGTTATATACCTGTACATACAATTGTCGATTTGTATATTTTTATTCCTTATTTACTATTTTTATTTTATTATCTGTTTTATTGTTCTGTCACTGTAATTCTGTTACACTGTGGAAGCTTCTGTCATGAAAACAAATTCCTCGTATGTGTAAACATACCTGGCAATAAAGCTCATTCTGATTCTGATTCTGAGTATAGTCAAAATATATAATACTTAATATGTGAATTTTGTCAAGGATATTTGCATACAGTAGCAGAGTTTAGCCCCTGTGAGGGCTTCTACCTTACCCAGCCCACCCTTCTGTTCCTCATGGGTCATCACTCTACATCTAGGCAGCTTTCTGTATGCACCCAGCAGAAGAAAAGCAAGTAGGGTGGAAGAAAAGCTATATTTAGATCAACAGCACACACACACACACAAAAAAACATATACAGACTTTCTCCATTGCTTACATCCTCACTTTCTGTCCCTCCACTCACCCTCATGATTTTCTTCACCTCAAGCTCTATCGCTTTTTTCCTCTCACTTTTTTCTCCCTCTAAGCTGTTCTCTTGTTCATGCGATACCTGATTTACTTCTGATATCTATAAGCTGTTTTTATTATAGATGGAACTTAAGTATATGCAAATAATGATATAAACCAGTATTATTTCAGTATAGGATCGATATACTATTATAGTTTTTGTTTATATATTACATTTTATTAAATATTTAAATTAGAAGTTTTAGTCGATTTTTTTTGTTTTTCTTACGTTATGGTTTTTAGTTTAGTTTTAATTGTTTTAGTAAGTTAAAATAAATGCAAATTAGAAATGTTTCCCTCGCAACAGCTGAAATAAAATAAGTTTATATTTTATTTCAAGTAATGAAAAATGTTGTTTCTAAGTTTAGTTTTAGTTAACATGAACCTAATTATCATATTGGCCAGAGTTTAAATCGGTGCATCCCTAAAGGTCACCAAAAGTCTGAAACCTGAAAATGGCTCTGTTATAAATTTTTCTAATTAAGTAACTTTTTCCCCCATTATAAATGATAAAACGTAATATTTCCTCATTTTTTAGTGTCAGATCTGCGTGAACCTGAGAGAACAATAGACACAACTATTATTTGTTATATCATAATGCTCCTGTATTTTACATTTTTCAAAATCATAAAAAATCCTAACTTTAAATATCTTATTTATTTATCATTTACTGCTATATATAGTAATTATTTTTAAACCCTAGATTTTCAATACGGTCTCAAACTATAGGATTCCAATGTACTTCTATTAAATAATTCTATTACGTTCCCATTATCATAGCTGCCCACTGCTCCGGGTGTGTGTGTTTGTTCACTACTCACAGTGGTTGCCTTTTTAATGGGTGAAATGCAGAACACAAATTCTGAGTATGGGACACATGTCACATTCTTTCCTTTCCTTAAAATTATAAGAGCTGAGGTATGCGAGTGGCCTTGTGTTTGTTTTCAAGCTCACCCACTTGCAAGCATGTGTATAAAGTGTATAAAAGAAAGCACAGCAGTAACATAGCCTCAAGATCCGCAGCTCTAAAAGCCACAGCTGACAAAGTTGAATTAAGAAAGAGCACAAGCTTCCAGTAGCTATAATGGAGTCAAGAAAGAGGTCCAAACAACCTGGGGCAGCCTCAGGCCTCTGTTAGCCTGCTGATTTAATACAACCTGAAGAGGAAAAGGGTCCGTTTTCATGATTCATTTTCGGCGGTACCGCCCCATTATGACTGTGTGTGCAAGCCGACTCACCTTGTGTTCGTGTGGTGTTCTGCATCATGCTATTGTCAGGACAGTAAAGCTGCTGTGAATGCATCCATCCCCGACCTCATTGTGAGGAACAGATTTACTCTCAGTGGGATCAGGCCTGGAGAGATTAGCAGACAGAGAGAGGTTATCGAGATCAAGACTCCCAGGCAGTTTGTGTGAAAATCTTACAGTGCTGTGAGGGATGCAAAACAATGTAATCGTAATGGACCGGTAAATCCTTTTAGTGCCATAACAAAAGCAATACTGCGTGAATTCGGTAACCAATAGAACCAACCTAAACGGTGTTATGATGCAAAGAGATATGAACAGTTCAATAAACCAAGTGAACACTGAGTAGCTTAGATTGTGATTGTTACATTGTGTAGGCTATTATTTTTAACACAAAATAGTTCCAAACAAAGTCAAGGCTGAATCGCCTGCATGTTGCGAATATCCAAAAAGCACACAATAGCGACGCTCTGTTGTTTCAGTGATTCAATGATTCATTCGTAAAGAAATTCACTTGTGTCATTGCTAAATGAATCAATGTGCTGAATGAATCAGTTGACTGAATGATTCAAAGATTCACTCTTAAAGAAAGTCAATTGTTTGCGCTTACTTGCTCTATAAAATCTATGGTTAGTGCATGGGTAGTTTTAGGTTATCATGGTTTTGGTATTTGAGTGGTCTCTGCTGTTTTTACAATAATTTATTGATGCTGGGGTCAAAACACTGATTGTTCTTTTTAAGTGTATTATCATCCATTTACATAGGATTTGGAAAACACTTAATTTACTTTTAATTCACTGTTCCCCATTATAGGGCACTAAACGCATTAGTGCAATGGGTTTCCCAGCTGTTTCTCATCAGGCAGATGTGTTTGTTTGCATTGTTAATTCATGCACAAGTGAGCTTTCAGTGTCTGGTCCTGATTTAACATTTGCATTAGCTTTTGGAGTCTTCTGCTGGTGTCGGAGTCTTCTGCTCATTGAAACAAGCAGGAAATGAAATGATTAGAGCATCCAGGGAAATACTACGGTACATTAGTGCAGTAATCAGATTAATTCACAAAAGGTTTTGCAATTAATTAAGTCATTTAACAATAGTGAAGCAAAGTGTCAGTGCATTTAAAAACTATGATCACTGATCGGTGCACAGACTGTTTGGCATATTCAAACTGCTTGTTTAGCAAACATCAAAAAAGAAAAAAGGACTGGTACTATCCAGTTAGACAGACTTACAGATTAGTTATAGTGATTTTTTTCTTGACTGTACATCATATATAATATTTGCATGTTAAGAAGGTTACATAGCCTACTGAAAGCATTTATGCATGAATGTATTTGTATGTAAATAAAATTTGCATATTTAAATTTACTTGGACTACTTTTTCCTGGTAAAATGAGAAGGGGCTTTTAAAACTGACCAGCATAAATGAGTTGAAAGCTATAAATGTGAGGTCCAAAACAAATATCCATGATGCAATTGTTGATCGCTGGATATTTTAAATAAAATTAAAAGAATTAAATAATTTAAGTATCATTGGCATACAGAATGGTTAAAATGTTTTATTTTATATTTTTAAATATAGCTTTTTTATATTGATTATTGTATCCAAATATAATGTATACCAAATATATGGGCAGATATAAAAAATAAATCAACAAAACTGTCTTTAACAAGTCACATTTGTGACTCTGGACCACAAAACCAGTCATAAGAAGCACGGGTATATTTGTAGCAATAGCCAACAATACATATGGGTCAAAATGATCGATTTTTCTTTTATGACAAAAATCAGGATAGGATATTAAGAAAAGATCATGTTCTATGAAGATATTTAGTAAATTTCTCACTGTAAATATATCAAAACTTACTTTTTGATTAGTAATATGCATTGATAAGAATTTCATTTGGACAACTTTAAAGCCAGTTTTCTCAATACTTAGATTTTTTTTTTGCACCCTCAGATTCCAGATTTTCAAATAGCCTAGTTGTATCTCAGCCAAATACTGAACTATCCTAACAAACCATACATCAGGGAATTGACCCTTATGATTGCTTTTGTGGTCCAGGGTCATATTTAGTCATTAAATGGATGCTTTTATCCAAACCAACTTACAAATGAGGAATATCATAATTTTATCATACAAGACAACAATACAATACTAACAAAAACTGCCTGTATTTAATAGTTTACCAAATACGTGGCAGAAAGCTACAATGATTTATGTCACATAACGAACATGAACATTATCGAGTTTTTACTGAGATGTACTGTACAAGAAATAAGAGAGAGACAGGCCATGTCAGAGCATGTAAAATAAATGCAATTTAATTTAAAATATAATGTTTTTCATTTAGTTTTACGTATATCCAGTCTTGCTTTCCACAATAACGTAACGGATCCGGGAGTTTGACTCCACACATCCCACTTGCAAAGCAGCTGTTTTTCCTGCTGCAGGAGAATGAGATGTGAGAGTGTCAGTGTCTCGTGTGAGAGGTAACATCTCCTCCCCCGCTGCAAGGGCTGCAGAACCGCATCTCCAGTGTGTGGAGCGCGACAAAATGGAGCCTGACTGAACGTGAGAGCAGGCGGAAGAAAGGCAGCAGCGACAGAGGGAGGGCGTTTGCTCTCAGTGAACATCACAACTCAGCTGCTGCAGTCAGGGCATCAATTTTGTATAGGCGTTGAGTGCAGTGCCAGAGCGTTCCCCTCTCTTTACCGCTGACCATGGAGAGCAGCTCGCGTCTCGCTCGACCACAGAGAGAGTGATGGGGAGCGACACGATACTATTGGCATGTCCGCGTCCGATTCTAGCGCAGCGCTGCTCAGCTGCAAGGTAGGGATAGTTTCCTCTCTCTCTCTCTCTCTCTCTCTCTCTCTCTCTCTCTCTCTCTCTCTCTCTCGCTCACTGATTTTCTCCCGCGCGCTCCCTCTCTATTACATTTTCACTCCATGTGATTCTGTAATCAATCAGTGCTGCTTTGGTGGAGTGAATGAATTTTGCATACATTCTGCCTGGGTCATAGTCTATTAATATCCTCGTGTAAGCCTTTTTTTATGAATAAATTATTCTCAGTCGAGATGCACGTCTTAGCTTTTCGACCAGCAGACTCATCAAATGCATTCAGCTGCATTGATTGTTTAATTGACCATGTGTATTACCTGACTAAGATTGTTAATATCTCTTTCACTTTCTCATATCTTTCTGTATGTGAGTAGCCTATGGTTTCAAATAGTATTACAAGTTGTTGATATGTCATCTGTGTTAGGGGGAAAAAGGCATATGGATTTGTTGTGTTGCAATAGCCAGAAAATGCAGAAATGTTTATTTTAGTGGTTGGAGTAATTTTTTATAACCAGCAAACCATGGTCAGAATTTAACCGGTTTTGGGTAAAAATGCCACTGAAAAGTGACACACACATACACACACACACACACACACAATGCACAGATATTTATATAAATGTATATGTTTATATTCAAGAGTGTAATGAACTAAGTATATTTACATAAATTCAGGCCTATATATTTATGTACATTCAAATTAATCTGTTTTTGATTTGATCAATTCATAATTGTATTTCAGGATACTTATAGGTCTTTATAGGTTTTGGACACTATTCAGTTGACATAAATAGATAACATAAATGATTTAATTTTTTAAAAAGCTATTATAAGGGCAAAAATATTATTATTATTATTTATATTATATTATATTATATTGTATTGTATTAAAAACTACCCTTATAAAGGTAAAAATCCTTTTGAAATAAAAAATATATATGTAACTGCAGCCAGTATACTGATATAATATAATGCAAAATTTGCACCACTGCATGTGTTTATTTTGTATTCTATCTATACATGTTGCATGTTGTTGATTTCTATGAACTCTGATCCCTGTCCTTGTCAGGACAAGTTCTGCCGTGGCGAGCATCAAATCCATGCTGCTCTATATAGGAGACTGGGAATCAGATTCTGACAATATGAATGAAAATAGGGCACAAAACTGTGAAATATAGGAGAATGAATGACTGTTATCTAACAAGCCTTGTGGGAGGTTCATTGATTTTTCGCCCCCTGTTGGCTGTGTGCTGCTATTGCACAACAAATTGTGAATCTCACAATTCTGAATTAATATCTCAGTCAGGCTTCTGACATTTTTCTCATTGTGAGAAAATTCAAATTCAGATGGTCAAATTCTTGCTTCCGTTTGAAGCTCAAGATGGATCATTCTTAAATCATTCTGGAGAACATCAGGTTTTACACAAACTTGCAGAGTTCATGCAGATCTAATGCTGCTGTCATTAAAGCAAAAGGAAGATAAACAGAATACTAAGACTGAAATTCTATTAAAAAATCTATTAAATCTTTTTTTAAGCTACATACTGTAAACATTCTATACAGCCTTTTCTGGGAATGTCTGATGGTTAAAATGTGTGTTGTAAGTGGAATATGGGGTGAGGTGTTGTGGAAACACTCTTAGCGGATGAGGATGCGATGCATTGTGTCTTTTAAAAGATTACATTACTCTATCGATCCAGGTACTGAGCGAAAAATTGCTTAGTCTGTCGGGTCATCTGAAAACGTCTCCAAGTTAATGCACACTGCATGTACGAATTACGAAACACAAAATGTGCCATAGCCTTGCAGGTAGTGATGTTTATGTGGGTGACCCCTGCATCACTATTACCTCCTATTGATAAAAGTGGCCAAAAATGTTTTTTGATATAGTGTGTTGTTGTACTTCAAAGCCCTACACTATCTTCCTTTTCATTTACTTCTAAGCCGAACACATGAAAGAGATGAACACGGTGTAGATCATCCAAGGGTTGGTTCAGGACAGCTTGGTGATGGAGATGCCTCCCATAGCAGGGCTGGCTTTTAATTAACACGTTCATTTCAACGAGAGATATATTTTAATCGCACATAAGAATCTTATCTTAGCCGGCGTCTGCATAATTATGCTTTATCTCTTTCGACGGTAGGTGTCGCAGACATCTGCGCCCTGCGGCTGCCTTTGATATTTAAATCATATCCTCACTGTGGTCTGGATTTTGGAGGGAAAAAAGACAGAGAGAAAGGCTAGTCTGGAGGGTAGATCAGAGGGATGCAGGAGATGGTAGAGGAAAGGTTTTTGCAATGCTTGTTTACAGTTACTAGGTCTTTTGTTATCGTATGTTATTTGGTGATTTAGTTTTCCGTTTTAATGCTTTATTGGCATGAAAAATATAAATATTTATATATTCATATTGCCAAAGCATTTGCAGCAATTGCTGTGTGCAGTTAAAATGGTGCAAAATGAGAATAGTGCAAAACAACAGTGCAAACGAAAAACATTAGGTCTCATTCACTAGGAATTGTGTGAATTCGCATTTATATGCACAGGAGAACTTCTCACGAAAAGTTCTGGCTAATTCACAACACGTGTACCTTCATGAATTTGATTTTAACCTTAAATAGTTCACCCAAAAATTTAAATTTGCCGAACATTTGCTCACCCTCAAGCCATCAAAGATGTAGATGAGTTTGTTTCTTCAACAGAATGGATTTGGAGAAATGTAGCACTACATCACTTGCTCAGCAATGAATCCTCTGCAGTGAATGGGTGCCGTCAGAATAAAAGTCCCAACAGCTGATAAAAACATCACAATAATCCACAAGTAATCCTCACAACCACAGTCCATCAATTAACATACTGTGAAGTGAAAGCTGCATGTTTCTAATAAACAAATTGAACATTAACAGTTTTTTTCAAACCATTGCTTTTGGCTCAGCAACCTTGAAAAATGCCAAGTGCGCCATCCTCAAAACCAGTTCAAACACAATAAATACTTTTAATACAGACCCAGATAACAGACATCTCATTAGCCAGCTGTTCATATGTGTATATACCTCCGTATGATTTTGTGAATCATGATATGTTCATGAAAATGATTATATGCAGATTTCAAGCAGAAATTTGTTGCTTAGTGAATGAGACCCACTGTAATTGACAAAGAAGTAGAAAGGGCATTAAACATACCAATGAATAAAAGTAATTATAATGAAAAAGTGAAAGAGCACCTCTCACAATGGAGCACCTCTCTTTTTGCAGAGTTCTGCTGATTCCTACACGAGTAGACCATCGGATTCCGACCTGTCCCAGGAGGAGGACAAGGAGGCGTCTCGGCGTGAGGCCGAGCGCCAGGCCCTGCTCCAGCTCGAGAGAGCCAAGGTTCATCTTCTCAAATGGATACACTGTTAATTACCTCACCTCTTAATATAATGTTGACTGTTTTCTTTGTTTTCTTTGTAGACCAAACCAGTGGCGTTTGCAGTGAGAACCAATGTCAGCTACTGCGGGGCTCTCGATGAAGACTGTCCGGTTCAGGGTGCTGCCATCAACTTTGAAACCAAAGATTTTCTACACATAAAAGAGGTGGGAAGCAACCAGTGAACTGAAGTTAACAGTTAGCTTATGTTTCACTGTGATATTTTTGAGCACATTGTCTCCTATCCTACAGAAGTATAATAATGACTGGTGGATCGGGAGGCTGGTGAAGGAGGGGGCAGATATTGCCTTCATCCCCAGCCCTGTTAAACTGGAGGCCATGCGGATCAAGCAGGAACAGAAAGCAGCTCAGAGGTCCACAGTTGCTTCTCATCATATCTATGTAGTTGTTATTCAGTACTGTGTAGCATTTAAAGGAATAGTTTGCCCAAAAATGAAAATTTGTAGAAAATGTACTCACCCTCAGGCCATTCAAGATGTAGATTAGTTTGTTTCTTAATCAGAAAAGATTTGGAGAAATTTAGCATTACTTGCACACCAACAGATCCTCTACAGTGAATGGGTGCCGTCAGAATGAGAGTCCAAACAGCTGATAAAAACATCACAATAATCGACAAGTAGTCCTCACGACTCCAGTCCATCAAATAACATCTTGTGAAGTGAAAAATTGCATGTTTGTAAGAAACAAATCCATCATTAAGATGTTTTTAACTTCAAACTCTTGCTTCCATATAAAATACCAGTCCATAATCCATAATAATGCTCCAGTGAAAAAGTCTGTCAACTGTTGCCCTCTCACATCAAAATACACAAACTTATTTTTTTAGAACTAGGTTTCACTAGTAAATGAATTAGCATTTAAAGGAATAGTTTGCCCAAAAATGAAAATTTGTAGAAAATGTACTCACCCTCAGGCCATTCAAGATGTAGATTAGTTTGTTTCTTAATCAGAAAAGATTTGGAGAAATTTAGCATTACTTGCACACCAACAGATCCTCTACAGTGAATGGGTGCCATCAGAATGAGAGTCCAAACAGCTGATAAAAACATCACAATAATCGACAAGTAGTCCTCACGACTCCAGTCCATCAAATAACATCTTGTGAAGTGAAAAATTGCATGTTTGTAAGAAACAAATCCATCATTAAGATGTTTTTAACTTCAAACTCTTGCTTCCATATAAAATACCAGTCCATAATCCATAATAATGCTCCAGTGAAAAAGTCTGTCAACTGTTGCCCTCTCACATCAAAATACACAAACTTATTTTTTTAGAACTAGGTTTCACTAGTAAATGGATCTTGATCTGTGCATATTTCTCTCCTGATTCAGACAAGGTGACTTTTTCACTGGAGAACAAATAATTTTAGAGAGAGGACTTAGGTATTAGGTACCTCTAGTTATAGATAGAGGTATTTTTTTCACACTGTTTTTTTTTTGCCTACTATATAGTAGGGAAGTATGCATATTCAAATAACTGAATTATTGTGTTTGAACAAATCATTTGAATGGCTTTTAAAGAGTCACTTGTTGTCACCACCGACTGGCTTAGCTAACTACCTACAGAAAGAATCATTAAAAATCCCCACTACTAATATGCAACTATACAGTTGGTTTGGAATGCACAAAGACAAGCAGACTGATATAAATAAAGTGAAGATTATTAGTTATCATTTTTGGTGAACTACCATAAGTGAGAAATAAACAATCTTACCTTCAGTTGCTGTGATTTGCCATTGCACTTGCTATTTATAAGAAATCCCAGCACATAAATTCAGCATGGGATTTTAGTTTAAAGTATGATATCAGCATCCTGTAATTTCTAAAGTGTTTGTGTTGGTAACAGGAAAATGGGTGGAAATGCTTCATCTGGTGGTTGGAGGTCTACTCCTCCTTCTGCAGGTGAGAGGTATTTAAATACTCTCACACATTCCTGTCTTACTGTATCGCTAGTAATGTTGAGCCACTAGCATTCCTCTGCATTTCCCTTCAGGGTATATGCTAATTTTATATGTCAAGATTTACATAATATGTCAGTATAAAATAGTTTTACCATTATGAACACAAACAACCTGTTTAGATTTTCTTAAACACATTTCTCTTATTTTAAACAAGCCAAACAGAAGCAGAAGCAGGTAGGTGGTTAAAGTTGCTTCCTTGCTTCCATAATGCAAAACAGTCCCTCAAAAAGTGCTATTAAATATTCACAGTTTGTGTCTGGCCTCTCAGACAATTCTCTGTGAGAGATTTTAATGCTGTGTTATTGAAAATGCATCCCTTTAGGCTACTCATTAGATGTTGAGAAATGTTAGTTAAGGTTCATAGCTTGTGAGACATAACAGTGTGTGTGTGTGTGTGTGTGTGTGTGTGTGTGTTGTAGACAGAGCACGTTCCACCCTATGATGTAGTTCCATCCATGAGGCCTGTTGTTCTGGTTGGCCCCTCGCTGAAAGGCTATGAGGTAAAGGATAATAAATTTGATCATCATGGCAGTTAAAAGACAGGCCAGTTGTTCTATGTATGCAGGGTCCAAAATTGACAACGACCAAGCAAGTAAAAGTTGAGTTTGAGGAGTAAAAACAAATTTTTAGAAATAGAAATTGTTCACTGAATCAAATCATGCAAACCATTTACTAAAGAAAACATCACTCACTCATGTGACTTTTGTGCCTTTTAACTAGCACCTCTGTGGAACATTTTCCAACAGAAATTTGCCTGAAGGCTTTTTTTCTCCAGAACTCAATGTGACAACATATATATATATATATATATATTAAGCTACCAAAATGAAATTAACAAGCATGTTGTTTTATTATTATTTATATAATATTATAGCATTTATAAAAATTTTCCGTTTTAGTAATTTTCAGTTACATTACGTTAAGTTATTCGTGTAATATTTGTATTTTATTTTATTTAAAGTTTCTTTCAATTACTGAAAATGATTGAATAGGTTTAGTTTTAAATAGTGCTGTCAAACGATTAATCGTGATTAATCGCATCCAAAATAAAAGTTTTTGTTTACATTATATGTATGTGTACTGTGTATATTTATTATGTATATATAAATACACACACATACAGTATATATTTTGAAAATATTTGCATGTATATGCATTTATATATTTATATTCTTATATTTTATATCATATATAAATATATTTAATATATAAACATAACATATTTTTCTTAAATATATACATGCATGTGTTTGTATTTATATATACATAATAAATATACACAGTATACACACATGTATTTTGTAAACAAAACCTTTTATTTGTCGTTTGACAGCACTAGTTTTAAACCTATTAATAACAACACTGGAACAAAATCACATTTTGCAACAAATTTATGCAGAGATTGGTTTATCTAATATATGATGTGATATACAAGTTACACAATGACCTATACAAATATATGCAGCTTATATTTATATTTAGATGTAATAAATAATCTTTCTATAAATACATTTATTTTGATTATAATTTAATAAAAATGCAAAATACGCTTTCATGATCTATGAAAAATATTTGTGGTCAGTATTTGTATGTATATTTACTAAACAATATTTATATAATTATATTTATCATAATTATATTTAATAAAATAATGCACAATACAGTTTCATGGCCTATGAAAAGTAATTACAGTCTGTAAATTCTCATAATTCACTCACTCACAAAAAGCTCATTTTGGATCCTGTTGTATGTATATGACTGCTCAGGCCGTTTTGGTGTGCGAGAGGATTCACGAACGTGAAATATTTAAGTCCAGCTGTGGCACGGTGCTCTGGACACATTTGTCAGTCAGCTCTTTAACAGAGACACCAGGGACCTGCTTCCCCTTCTGACTCTCTACCCTCTATTTCTGGAGTCATTCATTTTTCACCCCTGTGTCTAAATAAAACCACATCACCTCATCCAAACCATATTAGCCGTATACACGACTCTTCTTCCGAATCCCCTGCTTAGGATAGGACTCCTTATTTTCCCCCTACGATCCTTAGACAACAAAATCACTGGGTGGATGTTAACACTATTAATAGCTCAGGACCTAAACTACCTCAGATTGACAGGTTAATTACATATGAAACGTTTCTGGTTGAATGTAGAATGAACGTTTTCTCGCAATCTTCTGATGCAGGTGACTGATATGATGCAGAAAGCCTTGTTTGACTTCCTGAAACACAGGTTTGATGGGAGGTGAGTGCAGAAACTGTTTGTTTCACTGGTTTAGAGCTTAAAAGTGAAAGCGTTAGTCTTAAAGGAACAGTTCATTCAAAAATAAATCATTTATCTACCTTTTTTCTTCTGTAAAGTATCATAAAAGTGGTCCATACTTCTTGTGTGCTATGTTTTTTTTTGTGTGTGTGGTGTGGTGTGGTTTCATGGCAGGATTTCTATCACAAGAATGACTGCAGATCTGTCTCTGGCCAAGAGGTCTGTACTGAACAAGAAAGCTATCATGGAGAGGTCAAACACACGTTCCAGTCTGGGTGAGTGACAACATACAAGGGTAAAGCTAAATAGTACATTCATATAAAATGTGAAGTATTTTTTTATGAAGGACCTAATATGGCATCATTTGTTGTCTCATTATTAATGTGGCTCGTGTTATCATGCCTGTCTCTCTCTCTCTCAGCCGAGGTGCAGAGTGAGATTGAGAGAATATTTGAACTGGCTAAAAGCCTGCAGTTGGTGGTCTTGGATGCAGATACTATCAACCACCCCACACAGCTTCTCAAGACCTCCCTCGCCCCCATCATTGTCTACGTCAAAGTGTCCTCTCCAAAGGTACAACTATATTTAACCAGTCAATAAATCACTTATTCTTAAAAAGCTATAAATGGGTGTTTCTCCAATTACAGATTTATATTAAAACGAACTTCACTTGTATAAAGGTCACAATACTGTAAAACGGCCTGGGAAACCCTTTAAAATGTATTTTTTTAATGTATTTTATTCTTTTACTCCTGTCCCAGACTATGACTTTTCATCTAATATAGAAATCCATTATCAATTATTATGAAACTATGATCACCAAACACTAGTAAATTAAACAAATTATTATTAGAAAATTGTTTATATCATTTTAGACCTATTTTACCCCTCTATCATTTCCACCACAATTATTATTTAAATATTCTTCAAATATTAGTCAAAAAATATTATTAAAGTGTTTTAGCATGACCAATGAGTGTTTAAAATCAGAGAAAACTAAATACATTATTACAGTTGTGGTGGAAATTTCATTTGCTGGTTCAGAAAAATTAGTTTTTCTGTGATGCATGTACAGTATATCTACTCTCGAACACTGATGATAGACTAATTAAAGGGATCGTTGACCCAAAAAATGAAAATTCTCTGAAAATCTGGAATCTGAGGGTGCAAAAAAAATCTAAATATTGAGAAAATTGCCTTTAAAGTTGTTCAAATGAAGTTCTTAGCAATGCATATTACTAATAAAAAATTAAGTTTTGATATATTTACCGTAGGAAATGTACAAAATATCTTTATGGAACATGATCTTTACTTAATGTCCTAATGATTTTTGGCATAAAAGAAAAATCAGTAATTTTGACCCATACAATGTATTTTTTTCAGTCCATGCTGGACTATCTTCAGTGCTATTTATAGGTCCACAGAGCTAAAAGTGTTGTTTTGCTTATTTAAATGATTAATTCAATTCAAGTTTATTTGTACAGTGCTTTTCACGATACAAATCATTGCAAAGCAACTTTACAGCAAGATTAAGTTATATATATGTAGGTTCAGATTTCCCTGAAGAAACTTGTCTCTCATCTTCTCAGTGTTACTCATTCTACCCCAGGTTCTTCAAAGACTCATTAAGTCCAGAGGGAAATCTCAAAGCAAACATCTCAATGTGCAAATGATGGCTGGAGATAAACTAGCACAGTGCCCACCAGTGAGTCCCACTACTACACACATTCAGCTCCTGTTAACATACATTATACTGAAGCAACAAGTGAACAGATGCGATATCTTGCACTAATACTGTTTGTCTTCACTGTGTTTATCTTGCATTAGGAAATGTTTGATGTTATACTGGATGAGAATCAGTTAGAGGATGCCTGCGAACACCTGGCCGAATACTTAGATATATACTGGCGTGCCACTCACCTGCCAGGCTCCGCCCCCCTGAACCCTCTAGTGGAGCAAAATGTAGTTACACCACCCTCAGCCAACTCTAGCCAACAGGTGAGTGTTTAAATGTTACCTGCATGGCCTTCCCTTGTTGTGATGAAGCTTAAATGATCTTAAACACTCTCTCATCCTCTTCCTCTAGTTCTCAGAGACGCAGGAGCTAATTGAATGAGCACTACCACAAATTAGGGTGAGTGTTTGATTGCTTTTCATCTGCCAGTTAAAATTATTATCGTGAATGTGTATTTTCCTGTCAGGGCATATTAATAATAAATATTAATGATAACAATCAATATCAAATGTGCGCTTGCTTATTTTAAATGACAAGTACTTTTGAAAAAAGTTTAAAATAATGTCTAACATTAGACTTTTATTACATTTACAATATAAATATGATGAAGGATGTTTTTATTAAGGTTTTTAAATTAAATTAAATTAAATTAAATTAAATTAATTTCTGCATTTGTAACCAGTGTTGTTTTAGTAGTATCTACAAACTATTATGATATTAACATTTTGAATTAGTATTTATTTTTATGTTTAAGTTTTCTGTTTAGATTTAGTTGGTTTTAGCAATTTTGTTATATGCTTTTGTCAGTTATATATATGTTTAGCCATAATGATCACTTCCTCCACTGCCCTCTGGTTGTTACAGAGTGACACAGAACATTCCAGAAAGACCCCCAGAATATTCCTCAAAGGCCAGCCACTCACTGCCCCAGAATGAGACGGGGCTCAGAGCAGCTGCCCCCCTGATGAGAAAGAGGAGGAACGGAGGGATGGAGAAAGAGGACCAGCGGAGAAGTGGACCAATCCCAGCCTCACTGGCAGTGACAACACACACCCTCTACTAACCCTGCACTAACACATGTGTCGTCCTTTACATCTCAGGGCCACTCTGCTGCAGGCCTTCAGCCAACACACACACAAGTATACACACATTCAACTGGTCTGAATGTCCCTGCTGAGCCCAACGCTGAGATCAACAGGGGTTTCCCCAACCCCTTGGTGGTGCCATCTGTCCGCCAGGTTCTGCCAGCCTGACTCTGGCACTGGCATCAGAGCATCCATACCATGCCCTCACAAAGAAAGGCCAAATGGCTTTATGTAGCACAACCCTCAAATAACTAATTCATATACTGAAACCACACTTGGGACTTTTTAACTGAAAACTTTTTTATTTTCTGTTATATCCTGTTTCATTTTTCTTGTGTCTTTTTATCCACTGGAAACTTTAGGTTTATGTCAACCAGGGCAAATCAACTAGTAACTCATCAGTATTTCCAACCACACTGCACTACTATCACCCTTTCAGATCAATGAAAAGCAGACCACATGAATGTTTGTACATCTTTTGCCTAGATCTCAGTATTGCATTAAACAGCCTAACATATTATTTATTTTGTCCAACAGTGGTTCTCAACTGAGACCTCGCAGTTCTGTTCTGATTGGACACGTGATAAAACTATGCTAAATGCACAGAATAAAATGCAACTAATATTATAATCATGCATAGTTAGGATGATAAGACTTGTTAAGTTTTAAAAGAAAATTATATGGCATTTTGATGCAAATTAATCTATAACCAGGTAAATTAGGTAGATACCAACATGGATACATTGGATGACATGCTCTCATCTTTAAAATCATGAACAAGCTGAAAAAATATTACCCCAAATATATTAAACTTAATTTGTAGTTAAGCGAAACATGGTTTGTGCCCCAATGTTTTATGAACTATTCATTTTGATTCTTTTATTTTATTATTTATTTATAACTATATTTGAATTCATATAATTAAGATTTCATTTTTAATATAAATGTATTTTAATATTTGATTTTAAGAGCATTTTTTATTTCTTTTGTGCAATAAACTATTTTGGTGCTGTGTTGTGTCAAAGTAAAACCAGTTGAGAACCTCTGCTCTATACTAATGTTTGAATTACAGGGACATCTAGTGGTTATGTTTGAAACCACAAAAGTGAGACCCTTGCAAGCATCTTTGTTTTCACAAAAGTATAACTATACATAATCATACCATTAATTCAAAAACAACTGTAAGATGTGTAACAGTATTGCTTCAGAACCGCTGAACATCCTTTTCTGCATTTCGAGAATCTCAAAACACTGATAAAAATTCCTGATAGTTTTTTCCATCAACACTTATTTGCATGATAAGTGATGATCATGCTGACATATCTGCTGCTGTAATTGTTGAGTTTTGCTTGCTGCTGTTCTTCCATGCAATACCAAAATCATTTACAAAGATTATCACACTTAACAGAATGACTTATGTCTTATTTGCAAGACAATCTCTTCACTAAATGATCACTAATTTTACTCTTTGCATACATGCACATGCAGTACCATTGTACATTCAAGCTAATCGTGACTATGCATGACACAATCAGGCATCTGTAGAAATAAACAGCACTGTAAACTGAATAGGGAGATGCAATGGACATTTCTGAAACATATAAACCATCACAAACATCTGCTTGAGTATATAGAGTTTGCACATTAAAATGCATTGCCCTCCATCTATATATAAATGCCCAAACAAATGGCTGTCTGTTCGTTTAAGGTGTACATAATATTATTTACATATATTGAACAAAGATGTTATTTGGGACCATGTTGAATCTTCTGTCAATTTTTAAATCACTGCATATGAAAAGCAACAAGCAAGAGAAACAGGCTTCAAAGCACAATGAGATCTTCCCAATTGAAAATATGCTTGATATCTTTCCAGGTGATTTGAACATAGTCCAGAACTATGTATTCGGGTCTCCAAAGTATATTTTCAAGGCTGATTGTTTATTTTATTATATATTTATGTTGTTCTCTATCACAATATACTGTACTGTATGCGACACTGGAGGAAGGAGGAAGACAATGGCTTGGATTGGTAAAGGTCTATCACTGAATAAAGGGAAATTAATATGATTGCACTATTTTGGTTTTGTGTTTGAGGTTTTCTTTTGGTTTACAATGCAATAAATGCACTATGTAAGTGTGTAAACCCTCTTCCAGTAGTTAACTTATCATATTGTACAAATGTGACAACACTGACCAAGCACTAAGTCTGAAAAAAGAAAGAAAAAATTTAACTATTGTGTGCTCTGGGGAAGAAAAATAATGTAAAAGAAAATAAAAAAAGAAAAAGAATGGTCTCTGCATGGTTTCTGTCACTTTAGCTTGTGCTATTGATGCATAATATGTATCTGAAAAACATTTTAAATGATCTTGTGGTGTAACAAATACATTTTCGGATATATAGTCTCTAAGTTAATATGAAGTCATAAAAGCTGCATGCACAATGCTGCATGCACAAGAATTATAAACGAATAAAAATATTGATGACATGTCAATTTTTCAAAAATACCTGTATCAGCTAATCACCCACATGTAGAAAGTTCCACAATTTCAAATTCCAAAATTTCAAATTCCAAAATTTCCACTAGATGTCAGTGCAGGAGCAACTGTTGTGCAAAAAGCAAAATGATTCAAACACTGCTTCTGATCTCTTAGTATAAATACTTTTCCTAAAACTTCAGAAAATTATAATTTTGTTATTTCCCAAGTTATTTCATATTTATAAAATGGCAGTTGAGTAATTGTTACTTTAAGGAACTATTTATGAGCCTTTTTAATGTAATTCAATTTAGTCAGGTTGATTCAGTGATATTAAAATGATATTTTTGACATTAATAATAGTTAATGTTTCCACATTAAGCAGATTTTAGATTACGTGCTAAAAACCTTTACAGTGCATGCATTTTTAGCAGTGAGGCTATTTTGTCATGTATTGACACAAAAACACACAAACATGGGAAAACTGAGGGCCAAACTCAGATTTGTGCTATATAGCACTCAATTAAGTTATAAATGTCAAATCTCATTTCCACCATGTTGCCATGAATAAGAATTTAGCAAGCGAGAAAGAGATTTGTCTGTTGACACTGCAAGAGTGAGTGTCTTACTTAATACCAGTTTTCTGTTTCTGTTGTTTAGACTAAATATCTGCTTTAATATGCAATTTCAGTCAAATTTTCAGTTCAGTCAGTTTTTTCTTATACATTTATGAATATGTGTTTAGCTTTAAGTAAACCCATTAATTAATCAAAGAAAAATTTACTGTGTGTGTGTGTGTGCGTGGACCATGCGTGGACAATGTGTATATTGCAGTATGTTGAAAAATATAAGCACTACTTTCCCATATATGGAAATTATTATTTAATATATCAAATTTTAGTTTCCAGTATATTCCCTCTTTTTTTTGTTTTGTAAGGGTGCAGCAAACCAGTTGAACAGTGAACTGCATTACGAAACCCTTGCATACTGTATGAATGTGCTAGAATTGCACTTCCAAAGTACGTCAGGCTTGTTTTTTATTGTGTTTACAAGCACCGTGAAGCAAACACACCATACACTCTTAAAAAATAAAGGTGATTCACGATGCCATAGAAGAACCTTTTTGTCTAAATGGTTCCATAAAGAACCTTTAACATCTGTTTCAATCTGTTTCACAAAATGTTCTTTGTGGCGAAAGAAGGTTTTTCAGATTACAAAAAGGTAATAAAGAGATGGTTCTTTAAAGAACCTTTGACTGAATGGTTCTTTGTGGAACCAAAAATGGTTCTTCTATGGCATCGCTTGAAGAACCTTTTGAAGCACCTTTATTTTTAAGAGTGTACCTCCACACTTTTCCAACACTACTGAGTGGGTCACCCTGGCACAGGAACTCATTAACACATGCTAATTAGCTGCCTGCTGGGCCTCTGTCTGCTGCAAGTGGGCGGTTGTGGGTCAGATGGTGTTGTTGGAGTCTTTCTCTTTCTCTCTAAGTTGGTGTTCTAGTAGCAAGAGCTGATTACTGGTGTGGCCTGATATGCTCTCAGTATCACATTCCCTGTCATCAGAGCATAACGGGGCCGGCAGCAAAGCTCAAAGAGAGATTTGGCTAATGAGAAAGCTGGAGAAAAACAGACAGAGGTAGTCTGGATCGGCTGACCAGAACGAAGTTTGACGGAGAGCAGTTCCACTAATCCTTTTGACCTCGTTGCACTATTCATCAGATCCACACATAACCTAGAACAAATGGGATTTGCCCTTTCCATATGCTGCTTCTCTTCATTTCACTATGCTCCATTTCCCTCCTGAGAGGCTGACACTGAAAATGCTTTCATTTTTATCTGCAAATGACACAGCCATCTGTCACACATGAGGGTTTATCTTTATCTCTGGCGCTGTTAACAAATGCTAAACGTCCATCTACAGAAGTTACATGCATGAAATGGCACAAATATACATTACATGCGTTTTAACTGATGTATAACATCCCAGCACTGTTTTTATGGCACAGCTGAAACAGATGTCTTTGTTTGTTGCTTTAACAGGTAGATATACTGTACAGATATTTCACTGCACTCAGACTGTGGATAAGACAATAAAGGACAGTTGTTTATACAGTTATAGACCCAATGCACCAAAATGAAGGCAATCAAAATATTTGAGCTCCTCTCAGAAGGAAATTAGGGGATTCACAGATCATTAAAGGTTAGAGTCGTTAGGAGGAGGGACAAGAATGTGTGAACAGTCCTATTGTCCTCATGTTTGAGGCTATTGATGCTGAAAGAAAACAGTTCAATTGATTACTTTGGACACACACATATGCAGAAAATCTGGAAAAACTGGTAAAGGGCCTAATTTAGTTTGCATGTGATAGACCAAAGAATGCATGACTACACATATAAATGAGGAGTAATGGGACCCTGAGCATAATAAAGTACAAGCTATTCTGACCCGGTAATTTAATTTTCTGTAGCATGAATCTATACAAAGCCTCTTGTTTCATCGTAAATGTAAACTTCTAATACATTTTATGGGATTGTGATAACATGTATTTCATTAGTTTAAGATGAGATAAAAGTTTTCCAAAAGAGAGGGCTATCAGTAGTACATAATAGTACATATAGTATTATTACATACAGTTGAAGTCAAAAGTTTACATACACCTTGCAGAATCTGCAAAATGTTAATTATTTTACCAAAATAAGAGGGGTCATTCAAAATGCATGTTATTGTTTATTTAGTACTGACCTGAATAAGATATTTCACATAAAAGATACATGTAGTCCACAAGAGAAAATAATAGTTTTATAAAATTTATAAAAATGACCCCATTCGAAAGTTTACATACACTTGATTCTTAATACTGTGTTCTTACCTGATTGATCCACAGCTGTGTTTTTTGTGTATAGTGATAGTTGTTCACGAGTCCCTTGTTTGTTCTGAACAGTTAAACTGCCTGCCGTTCTTCAGAAAAATCATTCAGGTACCACAAATTCTTTGGTTTTCCAGCATTTTTGTGTATTTGAACCCTTTCCAACAATGACTGTATGATGTTGATATCCATCTTTTCACATTGAGGACAACTGAGGGACTAATATGCAACTATTACAGAAGGTTCAAATGCTCACCGATGCTCCAGAAGGAAAAACCATGCATTAAGAGCAATGAATTTAAAAATCAGGGTAAATTTAACTTATTTTCTTCTGGGAAACATCTTCTGTAGCTTCTGAAGAGCAGTACTAAATGAAAAAAATATGATATTTAGGCAAAATAAGAAAAATTTACACATCTTCATTCTGTTCAAAAGTTAATGCCTGATCTTCAAATTCAAAAAGTTTTTTTCACCAATTTCAATTCACCCGGCTCATAATGCATCGTT